CCTGTCCCACACGTACTTCATAACACTATTTATGGGTAAGTATTCCCTGTCTCGCAAATGGGACTGAGAAATGAAGTAACTTGTTCAAAGTCACTCGGGTTGTATGTAGTGGGGCATTTGACTCAAGCTTAAGTGGGTTTGGTGCCAGATGATGTTTTTATTAAATACTCAACAATCCCAGAGAATAAATTTGCTTACCGAATTATGCATAAACATCAAATACTTTTTGGTAGGAGTATGTCCCATGCAATATTTGGAATACACTTCTACTAAAAGGGTATGTTATTTTTCTGAAATTCACATCCAAGTGGATCTCCTACATTTTACCCGGCAACCCTATGCATGTGTCAACATGTGCCAGGTTATGCTGTGGTCTCAACCTCGGCATCTTCAAAGAGTCATGGTTTAATTCTTGCTTCAATGGTACAAACCCATCATGGCTGTTACTGCAGCTGCCTGGACCTGGCTGATGGAACAGCCTCTGCCATGAGCATGGCTGGTTGCTGCGTCAAAGAGAAGAGCGCTGAGGAATCCCACATTGTCAGTTATGGGCTCCAACCCGGAAAGGACACGTCACTTCTGATTCAAACTTATGAACTGAGCAAGTCTTATGGTTCTACCCAGTCATACAAAAGATAAATCCTACTTTGTGTCAAGAACATAGAGGGCTAGACCTATTTGGTGAACAGCCTAATGAACATAGACAGTTGGATATAGATATAAAGAGACACAGATATGAATATACATGAATATATATTTATATTTATATGAATGAGATCAATTATAAACATACATGAACACAACGTATTTGCATATATTCATTCATATTTATAAGTGTACGTATTACATATAAAATTTATGATTACATATATATATATAACTATTTTTACCTTGTCTTTTTATGAAAAATTAGGAGATTCTGTGGCTCTCAGAGGAAAACTGGTCCTGGCAGGAACCAGAAACCAGGTCTCCTAATTCCTGGCGGAGTATGCTTTCCATCACAATGTGGTGCTTTTAAAAGCCATAACCTCTGCTGGAAACTCTTCTTTTTTATTTTTTTTATTATGTTATGGTAGTCACCATACAATACATCATTATGTAGTTTTTGATATAGTGTTCAGTGATTCATTGTTTGCGTATAACACCCAGTGCTCCATGCAGTACGTGCCATCTTTAATACCCATCACAGGCTAACCCATCCCCCCACCCCCTCCCCTCAGTTTGTTTCCCGGAGCCCAGAGTCTCTCATGGTTCATCTCCCACTCTGATTTCCCCCCCTTTCCTCCCTTAATGTCCTCTGTGCTATTCCTTATGTTCCACATATGAATGTTGGCGAGGTTGTGGAGAAAAGGGAACCCTCCTACACTGTTGGTGGGAATGCAAATTGGTGCAGCCATTCTGGAAAACAGTATGGAGTTTCCTCAAAAAGTTAAAAATAGAGCTACCCTATGACCCAGCAATTGCCCTACTGGGTATTTAGCCCAAAGATACAGACATAGGGAAAAGAATGGGCACCTGCACCCCAATGTTCATAGCAGCAGTGTCCACAATAGCCAAACTGTGGAAGGAGCAGAAAACTCTTCTTATTCATCGTTTCCTTGTGGCTGCTTGTCATTCTCCTTATTGCTCTCTTAATTTGAGGCATCGTTCAGGTTCTCACTACTCTCAAGTTGCATCCTGAATTTCTCTAGTCAGGTGACTGGATCACATACCATGTTCTTTCCAGCTTACCTCACAGGAGCCCGAGAAGATCAGTGCTTGCTACGTGCCATGTTGGTGGCATTGAAAATGTCACAGTGTATGAAACAGCTCTGGTTGCATGGGAGATGGGATGTCCCATCTATGGGACATACTCTCAGGAGTGAGAATGCCCACTTGGTGTCCAATGCTCATTGTCTAACTTGGGCAACGTGCTTCTAAGATTTTGCCCTTTTGAAAAAGAGGAAGGCACGTTGGGAAGCTTTTATGAAGAACATGCAGAGTATGTCCCTAATCTTGTATCTCAGCCAAGTCTCTTGCTTTCTCCGATCTAAAGTTCCTTCATTTGAAAAAGAAAGACACTATAGGGCAGAGGTCAATAAACTTTTTTGGCAAAGGACCAGCTAATATTTTAGGCTTTCTGGGCCACAGGGTATGTCATGACCTTCGTGAGAAGCAACTACAGACAATATGTCAATGAACGAGGGTGAATGTCTTCCTATAAAACTATATAAGGACACTAGAATTTGAATTCATATCATTTTCACATATCACCAAATATTTTTCTTCTTCTGAAGTTATTTCTACAATTAAAAAAAAATAAAAACGATTCTAAGCTGATGGGTCACACCAGAATGGGTAGATGGCGGTTTTGTCCATACAAACGGTTAAACACGCTTTATGGTTTTATATTTTTTGTCACCTCTCCTTCCTTTATAGGGCGTGAGAAAAGGGGGCGATTCCTTGAATGTGAAAAAATGGGTGGTGTCTGTAAGCACCAAAAAACCCACGGATGCTCCATCCTGCCTGCAGAATGTAGAAGTCGGAACAAGCATTGCTGTCGTCTCTAGCTTCCACCCCCAGGGGCTCTTCGGGGCAGCATGGCCGCCTCACCCCTGCTGACCTCTGCTGAATAAAAACATCACCACTCACGTGTGTCCTGCATCGGGTCTTTCAGGGTGCACGGTGGAGGGGAGGGGCATGTGGGACTGAAGTTCTGAGCTTGGTACCCACCACTAATTCCCCGGTTGACTTTGGACAAGGCTTGTCCTTTTCTATGTTGCCGCTTCTGTACATGTAACTCTTTAAATGGTTCTCCAAGCCCCCTGTAATCTGCTCATATACATCTATCAATTGATGGATTAAGGATTAGAGCTTGAGGGGTGTGTGTGTGTGCGTGCGTGTGTGTATTGACAATACGTGGGAAAAGTCACTGAGATTTTGTTCTCATTTTCATACCCCTTAATGACTGTTGGCTATCAAGCAATGGCTCCCTGTTGATTATTGAAGAGCCAGGGAAATAAATCGATCAGAGGGGCCTAAAGGTACAGAAAGCTCAAAGCTGGTACCCAGGCATTTCAAGCCATGGAATCAGAACTCAGAGATTACAGAAATCAACCCACTGTTTCACAGAGAATCAAGACTTAGCAAGGTAGTGATTATTTTCCTCTCTCCAAAGATGCCTTTCCAAATAGCAGATTCCGTTAGAAGCATTTTCTTAGGACCCAAGGAATGGTTTTCCGCAGAGATAAGATTTGGACTGCGTAGCAGAAGCCTGCTGATTGGAAGGGGAAATGCCATCTTCAGCAGGAAGTTATTCTCATTTTGAAACAGAACACGATTTGTCATCTCTTCTCTTAGTGACTTTCTTTTGGTAACAAATCAAACTCTTGGACACAAACTCTTCACTGGGGATGTGAAGTTGTAAGTCTACTTTGCTCATTTGGCAGTTTCTTTTTTTTAAGATTTTATTTATTTATTTGTCAGAGAGAGAGAGCACAAGCAGGGGAAGCGGCAGAGGCAGAGGGAGAAGCAGACTCCCCACTGAGCAGGGAGTATGATACGGGGTTTGATCCCAGGACCCTGAGATCATGACCTGAGCCGAAGGCAGCTGCTTAATCGACTGAGTCACCCAGGCACCCCATTTTGCAGTTTCTTATAAAGTTGAATGTATGCTTGTCATATCACTCATTAATCCCACTCCTGGGTATTTACTCAGGGGAAATGGAAACTTACATTCCTATTAAAAACCTGTATGCAAATGTTCATAGCAGCTTAATTTATGTTTGCCAAAAATAGTTAACACAGATGTCCTTCAACTAGTGAATTAACTGTGGCACATCAGATAATGGAATCCTAGGCCACCATAAGAAGGGGCAACTGATTGATTCCAGTAACATGAATGGATCTCAAAGGCCTTCTGCTGAGTTAAAGAAGCCAGCTATAAAGACTACAGATTATTTGATTCCATCTATATAGCACTCATGAAAAGAAAACTATAGGGTTAGAAGCCAGGTCAGTGGTGGCCACAGGTTAGGGGTCACAGGAGGGGATGAAGGTAAGGAGCAGTACAGGGAATTGGAGGTTAGGGACCATCCCGTATAGACGAATGGTGGTGAATACTGAACTCTTCATTTGCAAATCCTTTAGAATGCTCCACCACAAAGTTTGATTTTTACTATATATATAAATTTAAAAAATATAATCAGCTCGATGTGGGCAGAAAAATGAAATGCTGACTACAACAAATGACTACAGTATTGCAGATTAATCCTATGACCACACTAAATGCAGCGGGGAACAAAGAACTGACCTAACTAACTTTGAGGAACTGTTTTGACCTGATAATCCCAGACTAAAAATGAAAAGTCCTTACACAAGAGCTGGACTCTGGTTGTTAGATCTGTTTCTCACAGCTGTTTGGATTAGCAATTCTAAAACTACTTGTATATATAAGAGTTGAACAAAGGAGAAAATGCACTGTAAGTAAGAGCCGGTTTTGTCACTGGTGGAGGAAAAAAAGGTTATAAATTAAAAAAGAGGGAGACGAGAAGGACCACTGTGGTGCTGGATTGAAGTTGAAGACACTGAGGAGGAACATGGGTTTTTAAAATACATACACAGAGAGATACAAAAATATATACAGGTGTGTAGGGCACCTGGGTGGCTCAGTCGTTGAGCGTCTGCCTTTGGCTCGGATCATGGTCCCGGGGTCCTGGGATCAAGCCCTGCGTCGGGCTCCCTGCTCGGCAGGGAGCCTGCTTCTCCCTCTCCCACTCCCCCTGCTTGTGTTCCTGCTCTCGCTACCTCTGTCTCTGTCAAATAAATAAATAAAATATTAAAAAAATATATATATATATATACAGGTGTGTATATAAATGAATTAATATCCATACATGTTTCCTAAATGTAGTCAGAGAGAAATGAGAATCTGTGCCATCTCAGCAGTAATGAGCACGTGGAGTACTCAGATCTCTGTTTCTTTTTTTTAATGTCTTTTTTTTTTTTTTAAAGTAGCTCCACACCCAACGTGGGGCTTGAACTCACGACCTTGAGATCTTAGGTCGCATGCTCTACCAACTAAGCCAGCCAGGTACCCCTCAGATCTCTGTTTCCAAATACCATTTTCTGTAGATGGACCCAAGGATCCTCGAGGAACTAACTCACTCAAGGACTGGGGCTGAGAAAATGCAAAATGAAGTTGGAGTATCTTATAGTGCCAGAAAATAACAAAACGCTCAGAAAATGGGGCACGTTGAGAGGACCCAAGAGAGACCTGGAAGAGCTCTCAATGGCCAACTGGAAACAACTTCATCAAAAAAATAAAGAGCCGAGATGCCCTTCAACAGATGAATGGATAAAGAAGATGTGGTTCATATATACAATGGAATATTACTCAGCCCTCAGAAAGGATGAATCCCCAACTTTTACATCAACATGGATGGGACTGGAGGAGATTATGCTAAGTGAAATAAGTCAAGCAGAGAAAGTCAATTTTCATATGGTTTCACTTATTTGTGGAACATAAGGAATAGCATGGAGGACATTAGGAGAAGGAAGGGAAAAATGGGGGGGTGGGATTGGAGGGAGAGATGACTCATGAGAGACTATGGACTCTGAGAAACAAACAGAGTTTTAGAGGGGAGGGGGGAGGAGGGATTGGTTAGCCTGGTGATGGGTATTAAAGAGGGCACATACTGCATGGAGCACTGGGTGTTATACGAAAACAATGGATCGTGGATCACCACATCAAAAACTAATGATGTATTTATTGTATGGTGACTAACATAACATAATAAAATTTAAAAAATTAAAAAAAAAATGAAGCGTTGAATTACAACCCAAACATAAATAGCCATGGAATCATAAGGGTGAAAGTCAATCCCTCTTCCCCACCTCCATTTAAAATTTTTTGATGTTTCCCTAAAGCTTCAAAGATAAAGTAAAATTTCTTAAGCGTCTGAAGTCCTGCTTCTACTGACCATACCTTCTCTACTTTTATTTCTTCACATTCTGGTTCTCGAACTACCCCCTACCATGAGATAGGCATGTGTGTGATAGTGACCTTCACAATGAAACACACCCCACCTCTCCTTCAACTTCCCCTCACTAATTCTTACCCGCTTTTTTTTAAAGACTTGGCTCATATATGGCATTCACTGGGAAGACACCTTTGAACCACCCAACATGGATATGATTTCCACGTGTGTGAGTTTTCTTAGCAGAACATACCTTGAACCCATACCTCCCGCCTCCAGTACACCACTATAGTTCCTAGCACAGAGTAGGTGCTTGAGAGGTACCAACAAAATAAATGAATCACTGAATGAAGAAAAGGGTATCATGAGGCCTCAGCCTTCCAATTTAATTCAGGGTAGGTTCATTAAGCGTGACTTCTTCAGTTTACTTAATTCAGGGTAGATTCATTAAACACAAATTCTTCCGTTCACTTATGCATCCTTATGCAACAGAAGCTCCTTCCGGGGCATATCCCTGGTATGCGAATCATACAGTTTCTTTTCCTCCTCAGGCACACGCTTGTATGTGAGTCACAGAAATGATACACTTCACCATGCCTATAACCTGTAGAAAGAGCCAAAATGGTTTATTTTTGGAAGAAAGCCTCAAAACCCCCATACAGGGGAAGAAACAACCAGGAAACCCCAACCATCATTACTCAAGAAGGTACACTGTCCCATGCTCCTCCTCCTCCCTGCCTTGTCGCTCTTGCTGCCTTGTTCAACAGGAAGACCCTGCCAGTCTTTAAGAGCTTGTTAAGAACCGAAATTTATGCTGTTAATTGGAGGCTGAAATCAAAGACTTCAAATACTCCTCTGGGGTTCATAAGCCACAGAGTGGCAAGTGTGCACCCCGGAGACTGATTATGGGATTGTCAATGTCCTTTGGAAGCAATACATTGAAACTTTGGTTTTTATCTTCCTGGGAGAGGATTCCACTGAGAATAAGATGATACTACAGCCCCAGTCTGAGGAAGGAAGATCTACATACATACTGGGTCAAATACAAAAGTGTACTCACACAGTGTGCCCCAAAGAATTTAAGGAATGTCACCAGGTCTCTGAAGTTCACCCCTAATTCCCAGGCTTAGAATCCCGGCCTTCAGGGTTTATCAGCTATGTCTTAAAAATAAGATTAAAGATCTAAAATTCAAGTCCCTAAAAGAAAAGACCTAGAATAATCAGGGGCACTGGCTGAGGTAAGAAAGGTTTCCAAAAGAGGGGAAAAAAAATCCTACCTGACTCAAAGCCAGGCCTGAAGAAGGAAGACTTCTTTTCCTGCCTCTTAGAAGGTGGAGGAAAGAAAGCCTGCACTCAGCCCGGAGAAAGAAGGGCCTCCGTGCTCCTTATCACCCAGCCTGCCCACCGTGGATCATTAGGAGAAGTCACCAACTTTGGACCCAGGCTGCACACCTCATGGGGCCTCAGACTAGTGATAGGGCCATACACACCCTTTGTGGAACAACTCGAGGGTGGGAGGCAGGTTCACTCCCTTACTTCACCCCATTCGTGCGTCCCAGCTCTGTTTACATTGTCTTCAACCTGCCCTCTTCTACTGGGGCAAGTAGTTAGAATGGGGCTTTAGCAGGGAGCTTTCATAAACCTGCTTATGGTGGGCTCTTGCACCCTATCTTCATGCCACATGGTCAAGGCTATCGTGAAAGGCCCCCTGCCCATCCTGTCTTCATCACAGCAGCTGTGATCACAGAAGCCAGCTCTGACATCGGGGCTCCCCCACCCTGGGGATGCTAGCTCCCTGCCCTAGCTTTGTCACCAAGAGTCATGCTGGAAGCAGCCTGTGATTCTCTCCTTCTTCTTCCCCAAACACATTCTCTCACAGCCCACCATAATCTACTCTCCTCGGCTCTTGGGTGAAAAATCAGCCCAGTGAGGAAACTGAGGTTGTGCCATTATTCCGAGTGATGCAACAAAACCAGTCATCATGCCCAGTGGGTCCACAGAGAACAGACTCTTGTTGACCCAAAGCAAAAAGGGGGTACGCTGCCCTACCCAGCTCCTGTCCCCTTGGCTTCTCATTGGTCCGTTCTGTGAAGTGGTGTTCTAGAAGACACAGGAGCCCCAAGCAGTGAGACCCAAGAATGGAGCATCTGATTGGGTGAATTTATTTGTATAAAGATAGAATATTAGAGGAGGAGAAAAGTAGAGGTGGGGGATTCAGGTGGGTGAGCGCCAAGCACAACATGGCAATATGGGAGAATGGCTGGTTTTCTGGGGTAAGCAAGGTTCAAACTCTCAGTGACCTGCCAGACCCTCACAGTGCTTGCCCACGCAAGCCAATTTTCTCCCCCCAAATCCAAGCAACTGTAGTTCTCTGTAAAGCCTTCAAGCTGTTCCGTGATACTCAGCACTTCTGTGATGTCAGGAATGAACACCAGGCAGGCCCCTGCCTCCCTCTCTCCCTTTCTTCTTGCCACCCCTTGCTCAAGACATGGAGCAGAATGCACCTTCAAGTTTCTTCCAAAATGCCATGGTTCTTAATACATTGCCTCCTTCTGGAAAACCTCTCTAGTTCCTCCTTTCCTGCTCTTACAGCCAGTCACTATACATTGTATCAGAGAATGAGGGTGGTGAATGTTAGTTCAAACACACCTCCGCAGGGGGAAGCTTCAAGAAAGGAGAGCATATTTGTAGGAATGTCATCAGATTGGACAAGAAAGCAGGTCACGTTTTAAGGATACACCAAGGAGGGTTTACCTGGCATTACTTGAGAGATAAAGAGGACGACGAAGATGAGAAGGAGAAATAGCTTCATAGTGCCGAGTCCGTGGAGACCTTTTCGAAGTTCCTTGAAAAGAGAAGACAAATGGCAGTGTAACGGGGTTGAATAAAAAGTCGTTTAGAGCCTCCTCTTTTATAAGTTTGATTGAGGTGACTAAACACAGAAGAGAATGTCCATTGTGATCAGAGCACTAACTGAAATATATAGTGGACAATGAATGCCCGTAAAATAAACAAGGACAGCGATTAGCAACGTTTGGTGCAGGGCTGGGGTAATTTCTTTTGTTAGCATTTAACAAATCAAGGCCCCAGGAAGAACAGTAATGGTAGTAAAATGAAAATGACTAGGATTCATGGAACATTTACTCTATGAAAAACCTGGGATGGTTCGTATGACCTTTTCTCCCAGTTATTCTCAGGGAACGAGTATAATCTGCTACTGCAACTCCGAGTACAAATACAGTCACAATAGGACCTTGTATTTTTCCAATCATCTCTCTAGTGCTTCATAGAATGAAAACCATCACCTACCTCTTACAACTCACCCCCCAAGGCCCTATTCCCCCTGAAGAGGTGGGCCTTCTGGTCTCCAGAGATCTGAGATCTATTCTGTGCCCAGCCATGTCATGTCTCCTTAATAAGGACTGGTCCTGCCTCGTCTGACCAGGGAAATTCTCCTGCTCCCGCAATGACCCTGCTGATTCAGGTCCCTGTCCCGGCCACGGTGATGTCTCATGACTGAGACAAACTCGTGTTCTTGGCTCTTGTCCTGCCAAGCAAACATAGTTTCCCGCATAGGTGAAAGTGGAGGGGCTTTCCTCCTTAACCAAAGCCCGAAGAAGAACAAGTTCTCTTCCCAAATTAGGCCCTTGTCTTGAGGCCGGGGATTTAGTGCAACCTACCCCTCACATTTTACTTCACCTGCTGTCTCTCTTCTCTGTTACTGGGGTTTGCCTAGCTGACCCTGACCCAGAATCTCACAGAGCTCAGGAAATCCTCACCCAGAAAATCTTGGATTCCTCAAAAAACAATGATCCCCCTGATTCTGAATGAACACTTGTCTATAACAAGTGTCCTCAGGAGTGGCTGACTCAAGGATTTTCACACCTTTCCCTCTTCTCCCTAGATAATGGTTGATAACTTGCCTTACACTTACATACGTAAGTAGAATCAATCAGGAAGAGGATACTGAAGGGGATTATTATCACCTTCCTGCAGCCAGAAGCAAAGTAGCCTTACTTTATGCAGGTCCTAATATGATCCCTAAATGTACACACGAGGAAAATAAGACTAGAGATATTTAGTACAGTGATAAAACTTGTATGTGGTGAAATCAAA